ACGTGTTACTATGGTAACATGATGCTATAGCTCTATATTCTATAATAATGTGTTGCTACAGTAACGTACTGCTACGGTAACTTATTGCTATAGTAGCTCGTTGCTACACTTATGTATTGCTATAGTAACTTGTTGCTATGGGAAAATGTTGCTATTGGAACACTTTCCTACAGTAACGTGTTGCTATGGTAATGTGTTGCTATGTTAACATGTTGCTATGGTAACGTGTTGCTACAGTAACGTGTTGCTACAGTAACATATTCCTACAGTAACTTGTTTCTTCAATAACATGTTCCTACAGTAAAGTGTTGCTATGGTAACGTGTTGCTATGGTAACGTGTTGCTATGGTAACGTGTTGCTACAGTAACATATTCCTACAGTAACGTGTTCCTTCAATAACGTGTTCCTACAGTAACGTGTTGCTACAGTAACGTGTTGCCATGGTAAAGTGTTGCTACGGTAACTTGTTGCTACAGTAACATATTCCTACAGGGACCGGGATTCTAGGGCATGAGACTCTACGGCGGCAAATATTATTTTCCTATTTTCGATCAAAATAGATCTAATTTCATTTTTAATTAGGATGTCCCAACTCTTAGACACTCGCAATCAGTATTGTTTACATTTGAAAGTTTATATGATATTTATGACCCGGTTATATCTATAGTACAGTATCGTTTTGATATAAGTTTAATCTGCTATGTGTTCAGTCAGTGTTACATTTCATTGGATTTATCTTAGGTCAAGATAAATATTTTGTTATGTGATAAAAACTGACTTTCAAAGAGCACTCCCTGTGACGGTCTGTGACCACGGGCATCCTAATTCTCTAATTTAATATGGAATTAGATCTATTTTGGTCGAAAATAATATTTGCCACCGTAGAGTCCTGTTTTTTCACACCCCCACGCCGTAGAGTCCCAGTTTGTACGACACCGCCGTAGAGTCTTACGCCATAGAGTCCGGACCCCATTCCTACAGTAACGTGTTGCTATGGTAACGTGTTTCTACAGTAACTTGTTGCTACATCCGTGTTGCTATGGTAACGTGTTGCTAATATGTCTGATAACTAATATTTATCTCAGTTAGGGGTCACTGTTTGTATTAGCAATATCTAATGAAATACTGTTTGTATTTCATTAGTCCACCTAATCACTGTAGAGCGTGCTGTATTGTGTATTATTCTTCTGTTACCAGGTTACCATGTATGGGGCCAGGTTGTCAGGTATGTGACCAGGTTGCCAGGTATGTGACCAGGTTGCCAGGTATGTGACCAGGTTGCCAGGTATGTGACCAGGTTGCCATGTATGTGACCAGGTTGCCAGGCATGTGACCAGGTTGCCAGGTATGTAACCAGGTTGCCAGGTATGTGACCAGGTTACCATGTATGTGACCAGGTTGCCAGGTATGTGACCAGGTTGCCAGGTATGTGACCAGGTTGCCAGGTATCAGTAGTCAATGACTAGACAGGGTTATTGAAAATTACAAAGAATAAAATGGCGTCTGGACTTGGGACCAGCTCAAAGTACATTTCATTAATGCCCTCTGAAAACCATTCTGCTAGCTCAAATTATTTGTTATATAGTAGTGTTGAAAGTATTAAAAAGTTAAAAAAGGTATGGGACCAGGTTGCCAGGTATGTGACCAGGTTTCCAGGTTTGTGACCATGTTGCTAGGTATGTGACCAGGTTGCCAGGTATGGGACCAGGTTGCCAGGTATGTGACCAGATTGCCAGGTATGTGACTTATATTTGCGTACGGACAGTGTAATATGTTTCTGCTTGTAAGTAAATTACAGTTAATTGATACACTGGTAATTGTTTAATTAGCAGGTCAGTGTTCAATCGTTAGCACCGTGACTAGTGTTGTGCAGTTACCATAGCAACTAGTATTGTGCAGTTACCATAGCAGAAAGCATTGTGCAGTTACCATAGCAACAAGCATTGTGCAGTTACCATAGCAACAAGCATCGTGCAGTTACCATAGCAACAAGCATTGTGCAGTTACCATCTAGCATTGTGCAGTTACCATAGCAGCAAGCATTGTGCAATGTGCAGTTACCATAGCAACAAGCATTGTGCAGTTACCATAGCAACAAGCATTGTGCAGTTACCATAGCAACAAGCATCGTGCAGTTACCATAGCAACAAGCATTGTGCAGTTACCATCTAGCATTGTGCAGTTACCATAGCAGCAAGCATTGTGCAATGTGCAGTTACCATAGCAACAAGCATTGTGCAGTTCCCATAGCAACAAGCTTTGTGCATTAACCATAGCAACTAGCATTGTGCAGTTACCATAGCAGCAAGCATTGTGCAGTTACCATGGCAACAAGCATTGTGCAGTTACCATGGTAACAAGCATTGTGCATTTACCATGGCAACAAGCATTGTGCAGTTACCATGGTAACAAGCATTGTGCATTTACCATAGCAACAAGCTTTGTGCAGTTACCATAGCAACTAGCATTGTGCATTTACCATAGCAACAAGCATTGTGCAGTTCCCATAGCAACAAGCTTTGTGCATTAACCATAGCAACTAGCATTGTGCAGTTACCATAGCAGCAAGCATTGTGCAGTTACCATGGCAACAAGCATTGTGCAGTTACCATGGTAACAAGCATTGTGCATTTACCATGGCAACAAGCATTGTGCAGTTACCATGGTAACAAGCATTGTGCATTTACCATAGCAACAAGCTTTGTGCAGTTACCATAGCAACTAGCATTGTGCATTTACCATAGCAACAAGCATTGTGCAGTTACCATAGCAACAAGCTTTGTGCAGTTACCATGGTAACAAGCATTGTGCAGTTACCATAGCAACCAGCTTTGTGCAGGTGTTCTACTTTATGTTTTGATAAACTTTTGTCTTATTCTGTCAAGTAGAGAAATTACAGCGGAGGTTTATCTGCGTGTTTTAAATACCAGTAACCCTAACAACACCAACCGTGTAACGTTACCCTATAACCGTGTAACGTTACTCTCTAGTAACCGTGTACCGTTAACCTAGTAACCGTTAATTGTTAACCTATTTACCATGTTACGTTACCCCTAGTAACTGTGTAACGTTAACCTATAGACTGTGTAACGTTAACCTAGTAACCGTGTACGTTAACCTAGTAACCGTGTAACGTTAACCATAGATTTCAGAAACGTTTAACCTATTTACCATTTACATTACCCTAGTAACCGTTAAACGTTAACCTAGTAATCGTGTAAACGTTAACCTAGTAACCCGTGTAACGTTAACTTATTACCGTGTAAACGTTACCCTAGTAACCGTGAACGTTACTCTAGTAACCGTGTAACGTTAACCAGTAACCGAGTAATGTTAACCTATTTACCATGTTACGTTACCCTAGTAACTGTGTAACGTTTACCTAATAACTGTGTAACGTTAACCAGGAACCGTTGTAACGTTAACCTAGTACCGTGTAACGTTAACCTAGTAATCCGAGTAACGTTAACCTATTTACCAAGTTACATTACCCTAGTAACCGTGTAAAGATAAACCTAGTAATCGTGTAAAACGATTTAACCTAGTAACCGTGGTAACGTTAACTTAGTAACCGGTGTAACGTTTAACCCTTAGAATACCGTGTAAAACGTTACTCTAGTAACCGAGTGAACGTAACCTAGTAACCGTTGTAATGTTTAACCTATTTACCAATGTTACTTACCCTAGTAACTGTGTAACGTTAACCTCATAACTGTGTAACGTTTAAACCTATTAACCGTGTAACGTAACCTAGTAACCGTGTAACGTTACCTAGTAATCTGTGTAACGTTAACCTATTTACCATGTATACATTACCCTAGTACCCGTGTAAACGTTAACCTAGTAATCGTGTAACGTTAACCTAGTAACCAGGTGTAACGTTTAACTTAGTAACCGTGTAAACGTTACCCTAGTAACACGTGGGTAACGTTACTCTAGTTACCGGTAACGTCTAAACCCTAGTAAACCGTGTAATGGTAACCTATTTACCATGTTACGTTACCCTAGTAACTGGTGTAACGTTAAACCTAATAACTGTGGTAACTTAACCTAGTAACTCGTTTAACGTTAACCTAGAAACCGAGTAACCGTTAAACCTAGTAATCGTGTAAACGTTTAACCATTTTACCATGTTACATTACCCTAGTAACCGTGAACGTTAACCGTAGTAATCGGTGTAACGATTAACCTAGTAACCGTTAACGTTAAACATAGTAACCGTGTAACGTTACCCGCAAGTAACCGTGTAACGTTACTCTAGTAACCGTGATAACGTTAACTAGTAACCGTGTATGTTAACACTATTTACCATGTATTACTTTACCCTAGTAACTGTGTAACGTTAACCTAAAACTGTGTAACGTTAACCCTAGTAACCGTGTAACGTTAACCTAGTAACCGTGTAAACGGTAACCCTAGTAATGCTGTAACTTAACCAATTTACCCATGTTACATATTACCCTAGTAAACGTGTACGATAACCCTAGTAATCGTGTAACGTTAACCTAGTACCGTGTAACGTTAACAACTTAGTAACCGTGTAAACGTTTTACCCAGTAACCGAGAAACGTTACTCTAGTAACCGTGTAACGTTAACCTAGTATCCCGTGTAATGTTTACCTATTTACCATGTTACGTTACCCTATAAACTGTGTAACTTAACCTAATAACTGTGCAACGTTCACCTAGTAACCGTGTAACGTTTAACCTAGTAACCGTGTAACTTTAACCTAGTATCGTGTAACGTTAACCTATTTACCATGTACATTACCCTAGTAACCGTGTAACGTACCTAGAATCGGTGAAAAGTTTAACCTAGTAACCGTGTAATCGTTAACTTAGTAACCGAGTAACGAAACCCTAGTAACCGTGTAACGTTTACTCTAGTACCCCGTGTAAACGTTAACCTAGTAACCGTGTTAATGTTTAACCTATTTTACCTATGTTACGAGATACGCCTAGTTAACTGTGTAACTTAACCTAATAACTGTGAACGGAGAGTGGAGCTGCTGAGTGTTCAGAGTGTGGAGGGGGGAGTGTTGCTGGGGAGGATGGGCTCGCTCAGTGCACTCAGTGTACTCCGGGTTATTACTCTGTGGAGAGGACTTTGTGTGCTCCTTGTGCTCCTGGCTCCTTTAACAATATTACCGGGGCCAGCCAGTGTCAACTGTGTGGTGTGGGGTGAGTGAGGGTATATTTTTTGACTGGTTCAAATTCTTTGATGGCCTTCAAATCAGTACGAAATAATAAAAAATTGGCCAAGGAATAAGAATTTTAGTGCCAAAAATGTGGACCCCCAAGTGGTATCAAAACTCGAATTAAAAAGGTAATAATTATTTTAGTCTCTGACTCTCTTGAGTCATGACACCACTTTAGGGTTAGAAAAGGGTTCCTGCTAGTAAAATTGTAAAACCCCTTCCTTTATCCCGGTATCCAACTAGTTAACATCACTTAATGTGTGTGTAGTGTGTGTTATGTAGCTTACGTTACTTAATCATTTAATTTAACACCAGGTACGACGCCCCCCAGAACGCGAGTCTTGCTTGTGACATGTGTGAGCCAGGCGCCTTCTCCGACAACACCGGCACACCTGAGTGCAGTCTCTGTTCTCCGGGTCATGTTGTGGATATCTCCGGAGCTGAGGGATGTGATGCTTGTCCTCAGGGGTACGAACAGGTATTATAAGGGGTGTGATGCTTGTCCTCAGGGATACGAACAGGTATTATAAGGGGTGTGATGCTTGTACTCAGGGATACGAACAGGTATTATAAGGGGTGTGATGCTTGTCCTCAGGGATACGAACAGGTAATATAAGGGGTGTGATGCTTGTCCTCAGGGATACGAACAGGTATTATAAGGGGTGTGATGCTTGTGCTCAGGGGTACGAACAGGTATTATAAGGGGTGTGATGCTTGTCCTCAGGGATACGAACAGGTATTATAAGGGGTGTGATGCTTGTACTCAGGGGTACGAACAGGTATTATAAGGGGTGTGGTGCTTGTCCTCAGGGATACGAACAGGTATTATAAGGGGTGTGATGCTTGTCCTCAGGGATACGAACAGGTATTATAAGGGGTGTGATGCTTGTCCTCAGGGATACGAACAGGTATTATAAGGGGTGTGATGCTTGTCCTCAGGGATACGAACAGGTATTATAAGGGGTGTGGTACTTGTCCTCAGGGATACGAACAGGTATTATAAGGGGTGTGATGCTTGTCCTCAGGGATACGAACAGGTATTATAAGGGGTGTGATGCTTGTCCTCAGGGATACGAACAGGTATTATAAGGGGTGTGATGCTTGTCCTCAGCGATACGAACAGGTATTATAAGGGGTGTGAAGCTTGTCCTCAGGGGTACAAACAGGTATTATAAGGGGTGTGATGCTTGTCCTCAGCGATACGAACAGGTATTATAAGGAGTGTGATGCTTGTCCTCAGGGATACGAACAGGTATTATAAGGAGTGTGATGCTTGTACTCAGGGATACGAACAGGTATTATAAGGGGTGTGATGCTTGTCCTCAGGGATACGAACAGGTATTATAAGGGGTGTGATGCTTGTCCTCAGGGGTACGAACAGGTATTATAAGGGGTGTGGTGCTTGTCCTCAGGGGTACGAACAGGTATTATAAGGGGTGTAGTGCTTGTCCTCAGGGATACGAACAGGTATTATAAGGGGTGTGAAGCTTGTCCTCAGGGATACGAACAGGTATTATAAGGGGTGTGATGCTTGTCCTCAGGGATACGAACAGGTATTATAAGGGGTGTGATGCTTGTCCTCAGGGATATGAACAGGTATTATAAGGGGTGTGATGCTTGTACTCAGGGATACGAACAGGTATTATAAGGGGTGTGATGCTTGTCCTCAGGGATACGAACAGGTATTATAAGGGGTGTGATGCTTGTCCTCAGGGATACGAACAGGTATTATAAGGGGTGTGAAGCTTGTCCTCAGGGATACGAACAGGTATTATAAGGGGTGTGATGCTTGTCCTCAGGGATACGAACAGGTATTATAAGGGGTGTGATGCTTGTCCTCAGGGATATGAACAGGTATTATAAGGGGTGTGATGCTTGTCCTCAGGGATACGAACAGGTATTATAAGGGGTGTGATGCTTGTCCTCAGGGATACGAACAGGTATTATAAGGGGTGTGATGCTTGTACTCAGGGATACGAACAGGTATTATAAGGGGTGTGGTGCTTGTTCTCAGGGATACGAACAGGTATTATAAGGGGTGTGATGCTTGTCCTCAGGGATACGAACAGGTATTATAAGGGGTGTGGTGCTTGTCCTCAGGGATACGAACAGGTATTATAAGGGGTGTGATGCTTGTCCTCAGGGATACGAACAGGTATTATAAGGGGTGTGATGCTTGTCCTCAGGGATATGAACAGGTATTATAAGGGGTGTGATGCTTGTCCTCAGGGATACGAACAGGTATTATAAGGGGTGTGATGCTTGTCCTCAGGGATACGAACAGGTATTATAAGGGGTGTGATGCTTGTACTCAGGGATACGAACAGGTATTATAAGGGGTGTGGTGCTTGTTCTCAGGGATACGAACAGGTATTATAAGGGGTGTGATGCTTGTCCTCAGGGATACGAACAGGTATTATAAGGGGTGTGGTGCTTGTCCTCAGGGATACGAACAGGTATTATAAGGGGTGTGATGCTTGTCCTCAGGGATACGAACAGGTATTATAAGGGGTGTGATGCTTGTCCTCAGGGATACGAACAGGTATTATAAGGGGTGTGATGCTTGTACTCAGGGGTACGAACAGGTATTATAAGGGGTGTGATGCTTGTCCTCAGGGATACGAACAGGTATTATAAGGGGTGTGATGCTTGTCCTCAGGGATACGAACAGGTAATATAAGGGGTGTGATGCTTGTACTCAGGGATACGAACAGGTATTATAAGGGGTGTGATGCTTGTCCTCAGGGATACGAACAGGTAATATAAGGGGTGTGATGCTTGTCCTCAGGGATACGAACAGGTATTATAAGGGGTGTGATGCTTGTCCTCAGGGGTACGAACAGGTATTATAAGGGGTGTGATGCTTGTCCTCAGGGATACGAACAGGTATTATAAGGGGTGTGGTGCTTGTCCTCAGGGATACGAACAGGTATTATAAGGGGTGTGGTGCTTGTCCTCAGGGATACGAACAGGTATTATAAGGGGTGTGATGCTTGTCCTCAGGGATACGAACAGGTAATATAAGGGGTGTGATGCTTGTCCTCAGGGGTACGAACAGGTATTATAAGGGGTGTGATACTTGTCCTCAGGGATACGAACAGGTATTATAAGGGGTGTGATGCTTGTCCTCAGGGGTACGAACAGGTATTATAAGGGGTGTGATGCTTGTCCTCAGGGATACGAACAGGTATTATAAGGGGTGTGATGCTTGTCCTCAGGGATACGAACACGTATTATAAGGGGTGTGGTGCTTGTCCTCAGGGATACGAACACGTATTATAAGGGGTGTGATGCTTGTACTCAGGGGTACGAACACGTATTATAAGGGGTGTGATGCTTGTCCTCAGGGGTACGAACAGGTATTATAAGGGGTGTGGTGCTTGTCCTCAGGGGTACGAACAGGTATTATAAGGGGTGTGATGCTTGTCCTCAGGGATACGAACAGGTATTATAAGGGGTGTGATGCTTGTCCTCAGGGATACGAACACGTATTATAAGGGGTGTGATGCTTGTACTCAGGGGTACGAACACGTATTATAAGGGGTGTAATGCTTGTCCTCAGGGATACGAACAGGTATTATAATTGGTGTAATGCTTGTCCTCAGGGATACGAACAGGTATTATAAGGGGTGTGATGCTTGTCCTCAGGGATACGAACACGTATTATAAGGGGTGTGGTGCTTGTCCTCAGGGATACGAACACGTATTATAAGGGGTGTGATGCTTGTACTCAGGGGTACGAACACGTATTATAAGGGGTGTGATGCTTGTCCTCAGGGGTACGAACAGGTAATATAAGGGGTGTGATGCTTGTCCTCAGGGGTACGAACAGGTATTATAAGGGGTGTGATGCTTGTCCTCAGGGATACGAACAGGTATTATAAGGGGTGTGATGCTTGTCCTCAGGGATACGAACACGTATTATAAGGGGTGTGATGCTTGTACTCAGGGGTACGAACACGTATTATAAGGGGTGTAATGCTTGTCCTCAGGGATACGAACAGGTATTATAATTGGTGTAATGCTTGTCCTCAGGGATACGAACAGGTATTATAAGGGGTGTGATGCTTGTACTCAGGGATACGAACACGTATTCTTAGTACTAACTACCAGTGTTTGTTAGACAGGAGGTCTATCGCTATATCCCAGCTATATAATATGATTTCAGCCTAAAGCAGGAGCGACCCAGTGTAAGATTTGCCCAGAGGGAACCTACACTGACTCAGAAGGAAGTGATAACTGTGTGTCCTGTCCGAGAGGAACGTACCAAAATAAGCAGGGTTAGTAACCTAGTAACCAGCTAGTTACCTAGTAACCAGCAAGTAACCAGCTAGTAACCAGCTAGTAACCAGCTAGTAACCAGCTAGTAAATGTGTGTCCTGCCCGAGTGGAACGTACCAAAATAAGCAGGGTTTGTTTATGAAAAAGTAAAAAGAAGACCTGATTTAACCATAAAACGTTAGTTTATAAACTTGTATAACCACTGATTTATATCAGCGGTAACCATGGTAACTATATCAGGAGGTAACACCTGCTCTCCTTGTCCTGATGGGAAGACTACATCAGCTGAAGGAACGACCGGAATAGAAAAGTGTTATTGTAAGTATTGAATGTAACCCCCCCCCCCTCCCCCTCCCCCAGTGTTATTGTTAGTATTGAATGAAGCACCCCCTCCCCCTTCCTTTTATGAGGGATTTTATTAGACTCCAATTTTGCACAGCGAGAACTGTTTGTTTTTCAACTTAGTTAAAGTTTAGCTTAACTTTAAATTTTTATACATTTTTACAAAATAGTGTGACCCCACTTTTGCAGGGGAGCAGTGTCCCATCGGTTACCATAGAAACTCGGATACTAATGATTGTGACGAGTGTTCTCAGGGAAGCTTTACAGACACTGTAGAGTCTCCTGAGTGTACGCCCTGTGCTATGGTGGGTAATACAACAACAACGTGTTACGCCACTGTAACACACCAGTGTTACGCCACTGTAACACACACAACACACCAGTGTTACGCCACTGTAACACACACAACACACCAGTGTTACGCCACTGTAACACACAACACACCAGTGTTACGCCACTGTAACACACACAACACACCAGTGTTACGCCACTGTAACACACACAACACACCAGTGTTACGCCACTGTAACACACACAACACACCAGTGTTACGCCACTGTAACACACTCAACACACCAGTGTTACGCCACTGTAACACACTCAACACACCAGTGTTACGCCACTGTAACACACACAACACACCAGTTTTACGCCACTGTAACACACACAACACACCAGTGTTACACCACTGTAACACACTCAACACAGATTCACAGACACTCAACACAGATTTAAAAAGTTTTAAACTACATTTTGTATTGTTCAGATCTTCAGATTAAATAATATTGTCTCCAGGGCTTCTTCAACCCGATCAGAAGACAAAGAAAGTGTCTTCAGTGCCCTGTAAAACACTGGACCAGATCTACTGGCTCCATTCACCCCACCGACTGTATCGGTAAGTAACCTAGTAACCAGATAGTAACCTAGTAACCATATAGTAACCTAGTAACCAGATAGTAACCTAGTAACCAGATAGTAACCTAGTTACCAGATAGTAACCTAGTAACCAGATAGTAAACTAGTTACGAGATAGTAACCTAGTAACCAGATAGTAACCTAGTAACTTGATGATAACCTGGTAACCAGATAGTAACCTAGTTACCATATAGTAACCTAGTAACTTGATAGTAACCTAGTTACGAGATATTAAACTAGTAACCAGCTAGGAACCTAGTAACCATATAGTAACCTAGTAACCAGATAGAAACCTATTAACCAGCTAGGAACCTAGTTACCAGATAGTAACCTAGTAATCAGATAGTAACCTATTAACCAGATAGTAACCTATTAACCAGATAGTAACCTAGTAACCAGCTAGGAACCAAGTAACCAGCTAGGAACCTAGTTACCAGATAGTAACCTAGTAACCAGATAGTAACCTATTAACCAGATAGTAACCTAGTAACCAGATAGTAACCTAGTAACCAGCTAGTAACCTAGTTACTAGATAGTAAGACCAAACCAACTATATTTACCTCAATTCTCTAGTCTTTTCAGACGCAGAATCTTCTACACTCTCTGACTTCTTCTGATGTCTGGGACTTACGACCCCAGATGTAGCTTTCAACGACGTTTTAAGGGCCCAACGTTCAGCTGTTCATCAGGGTTAAACTGGGCAGGGTCTTTCAGCCAGCTGCCAGTTGTCACTCCAGGTCTTGTTGTAGCGACTAAGCCAGATAGTGTAGGAACCTTTCAGGGACACCACCGCTGTTGTGTTAAGTGCCCTCTTCTTCTTTGCCCGGGTGATGTTAAGGAAGTTGAAAATTCGGGGTAATGTGTGGTGGTAGAATCCACGACATCCAACTTCTACTGTAAAGAGATATCCTTCCCAGCCTGCGGTCTCGATCTCCACCATTAGCTCTTCGTATCTCTTCTCTTTCCGGGATCTCTGGTCCTCAAAGTTCTCCTCGTTTCCACAGGTCAGCTCTATCAGGATGACTTTCCTGAGTGTGTTAGAGTATATTACCACATCAGGTCTGAGAGCTGTGTTGACAATATGTTGGGGGAATTGTCTTGTCCTTTCGTCCTCATCAAACACTAGTTTCCAGTCGTTACCTTCGTCTAGAAGATGAGGTTCTTCTGTAAGCCGTACTTCGGGTTTCCTGTAGGTTCCTTTTCCGGATACGAACTTCCTCCACTCTCTCTTTACTTCTGTCTTTGGGGTAGCACTGTTTATCTCCCTCAGCTTCTCTGCAATTGGTTGCACGATTACCCTGAGCACCTGATCATGTCTCCAATTATACCTTCCTTGTTTAAGCGACACTGGGCAACACGTTAGAATGTGCTTTAGGTTGCACTGCTGACGCCCACAAAGGGGACAGTTGTTCGTGGAGCTGTAGTTCCAAAGCTGGAGGTTGCTAGGTGTACTTGCAACGTCGTGGATGGCATTTAGGTGGAACTTTGTCAGCTCGGGGCTCAAGGTATACAGCAGGCTTTGCCAGCCAGTGTCTAGCTGCATGGTGTTCTCCCAGGTTAGAAACTTTCCTTGGACTCTCTTATCGTAGAGAGTTTGAAGGAGCTCCTCTTCTTTCAGAGACTTAATTATCTCCACCAGTTGCTCCTTTTTGTTCTTCTTCCTCCTCTGATCACCGAATCCAATACCGGCTCCTTCCCTGGTCTGCACGTAGCCAATCAGTTCTTTGAAGTAGAGGTCTCTCTCCCTATTAGTCAGCTCCTTGGTGTAGTCCCATCTCTTCTTGTCTCTGTTGGTGTTTTCTCTGTACTCGAAAACCTCCCTCACTTTGGGGTCAACCGATGTCTTCAGCATATAGGCCTTGGACACCTGTAGACATTTGTACAGGTTGGAGATCTGCTTTAACGATAGTCCAAAGTGGTCTTTTGATCTGTACAGCACACTATTCGATATGGAAGTAGTAACTCCAAGCCATTTCTTCAAGTATCTGGTACAAAGAGCCTCTAGTGTCTGGATGAATGATACTGGGAGGTTGTATATCATAATATTCCACTGTACTTTGCTAGTTAGCATGTGGTTGTAGATCCAGCACTTGCTTGGTCCAGAGAGCTCCGCCATGTCTACTTTTTCCAGCTGGCCTGAAAGTTGAGTGGTGATTAGCTCTCTCGTCTCATCTTGGCCCAGGTTGACGTAAATCCAGTGACCAAGGAACTTTATCGGTGTGTCACCAAGGTACGCTACTTTCTCGTTTGCAATGATGATCTCAGGGTCAAACGATCTGTAGGTATTGTCCACTACCTTCATTCCGAGAGCAATACACTTGCTGGGTTTAGCTCTCATCGTCCTTGTCCATGCTAAGAATTCCTCCATTTGCCCGACCAGCCTCTTCATTTTGTCGAGTCTGTCAGACAGCAGGGTGAGATCATCTGCAAAAGCTCTGTTTGTAGTTGGCTCAGAGCTGAACGACGGCTTGTATCCCAGTGTTCTGTCGACCTGAAGTAAATCCAAGAGTAGGTTGAATGCTATTAAGAATAGCACGACAGAAAGCGGGTCCCCTTGAAACAACCCAATTAGGTAGTAGAACCACTCACTCTTCCACTTCTTCGTCTTCACCCGTACTACCAGTTCGTCGTAGTACTTGACAATATATTGGACCACTTCTTCTGGGAACTTGTAGTGCCGAAGCGCAAACACTATCAGCTCATGGGGTACTCTCCCATAAGCATTCATAAGATCCACCCATACTGCATACACCTGTCTTCTCTTACTCTTTGCATCCCGCAGTTCCTCCATGAGCGCTTGTGTGTGTTCTATGCATCCTGGCATCTTGCGCAGGAAGCCTTTTTGCACAGAGGTATCGATGTACTTATTGGTGGTCATGTAGTCGAGCATTTTATCAGCTAGCATACCCATTGCCACTTTCCCACTGGTGTTAGTCATAGTGATGTTCCTAAACTTGCCAGGGTCACTAAGGTCCGTGGTCTTGGGAAGTAGGATGCTTTCTCCAATTCTCCACTGCAAGGGGACACTGTTTGATAACCAGAGTTTACTAATACACGCATACAATAGTTCTCTCAGCCTGGCACACCTTTTGTAAACTATGTATGGCACTCCGTTGGGCCCTGGTGAAGATACTTACTAGATAGTAACCTAGTAACCAGCTAATAACCTAGTAACCAGATAGTAACCTAGTAACCAGCTAGTAACTGTAACTCTATCAGGACCTATAATGACAATGTGTGATGGCACTAATATGACGGGTAACTGTACGACTTACTACGATGTAGAGCTATCAGTACCCTTCACCGCTCAGTCCCTTGAAGTAAAGGCCGGCAAGTTCAAGGTCTGTTCAGGCAAGAAAATGTACCTGAAATGTGAGATGATCTCCTACCCGTTCAGGGCTGATGACGTCACTGATGACGTCACCAGACAGCTCTCTTTCAGTCCGCTCAGTTTAGAGTCTGACAGTGAGTTAACAGTGTTTAGTGTGTCTTGTTAAACTTATAATTATCAAAAAACATTGTTACATATTATGTCTGATTAAACATTGTTAAATATTATGTCTGATTGATATAAGAATATAATTTGGTATGAGAGAATCTTCTCCTTGATTTGATGATATCACATGTAAAATCCTTTACTTTAACAGTAACAAAGTCAGTGTAACTATAATAGTTACAAAGACAGTGTTACTATGGTAACTTTACCACTCCCCCTTTCTCCTCTCAGTTGACGACTCGTTCTGCTACGAAAACAGAGGAGAAGAGTTCGCTCCCACACGTTTCTACAACGCCACGGTCAACGGACACGGGTAAGTGGCTTTTTATAGCTGTGAGTTGATTCACGATGTCAATCCTTCGCAGCTCGGTGAGGCACAGTGGTGCATCTCGCCGATCTACCGAAGGTTGCGACTTGCGAGAAGCATTATTGGATGCGCGCGCGCGACCCAGTAGTGCATCGCGCTACAAAGCTGTGAGGGATCTCTCAGACACTTAATACTTTAGTTACTATAGCAATTATAATCCATGCTCTATAATACTCTTGTTGCTATAGCTACTATAATCCATACTCTATGCTCTTGTTGCTATAGCTACTATAATCCATACTCTATAATACTCTTGTTGCTATAGTAATTATAATCCATACTCTATGCTCTAGTTGCTATAGCAACTATAATCCATACTCTATAATACTCTTGTTGCTATAGCAACTATAATCCATACTCTATGCTCTAGTTGCTATAGCAACTATAATCCATACTCTATAATACTCTTGTTGCTATAGCAATTATAATCCATATGCTCTATAATACTCTTGTTGCTATAGCAACTATAATCCATACTATATAATAATCTTGTTGCTATAGCAACTATAATCCATACTCTATGCTTTAGTTGCTATAGCAATTATAATCCATACTCTATGCTCTAGTTGCTATAGCAACTATAATCCATACTCTATAATACTCTTGTTGCTATAGCAATTATAATCCATACTCTATGCTCTAGTTGCTATAGCAACTATAATCCATACTCTATAATACTCTTGTTGCTATAGCAATTATAATCCATGCTCTATAATACTCTTGTTGCTATAGCAACTATAATCCATACTATATAATACTCTTGTTGCTATAGCAACTATAATCCATACTCTATGCTTTAGTTGCTATAGCAATTATAATCCATACTCTATGCTCTAGTTGCTATAGCAACTATAATCCATACTATATAATACTCTTGTTGCTATAGCAACTATAATCCATACTCTATGCTCTAGTTGCTATAGCAATTATAATCCATACTCTATGCTCTAGTTGCTATAGCAACTATAATCCATACTCTATAATACTCTTGTTGCTATAGCAATTATAATCCATACTCTATGCTCTAGTTGCTATAGCTACTATAATCCATACTCTATGCTCTAGTTGCTATAGCAATTATAATCCATACTCTATGCTCTAGTTGCTATAGCTACTATAATCCATACTCTATGCTCTAGTTGCTATAGCAACTATAACCCATACTCTATGCTCTAGTTGCTATAGCAACTATAACCCATACTCTATACTCTAGTTGCTATAGCAACTATAATCCATACTCTATGCTCTAGTTGCTATAGCAACTATAATCCATACTCTATAATACTCTTGTTGCTATAGCAATTATAATCCATACTCTATGCTTTAGTTGCTATAGCAATTATAACCCATACTCTATGCTCTAGTTGCTATAGCAACTATAACCCATACTCTATGGTCTAGTTGCTATAGCAACTATAACCCCATGTAATCTCACTTCCACTGCAGGTGTAAGAACTGGATATAGCAACTATAACCCCATGTAATCTCACTTCCACTGCAGGTGTAAGAACTGGATATAGCAACTATAACCCATGTAATCTCACTTCCACTGCAGGTGTAAGAACTGGATATAGCAACTATAACCCAATGTAATCTCACTTCCACTGCAGGTGTAAGAACTGGATGGACACTCAGCACCCGGAAGCGGGAGATAACACGTACTGCGCTAATCCTGACCCTAAACAGAAGAACGAGCCGTGGTGCTACACCCACGACCCTGCCGTGGAATGGGAATACTGCTCTGTTCCTAAGTGTGGTCAGTAGTGTTACTATTATCTAATACTGTTCAGTTCCTAAGTGTGGTCAGTAGTGTTACTATTATCTAATACTGCTCTGTTCCTAAGTGTGGTCAGTTTTACTTTATATAGTCACTAATATTATCTAATACTGCTCTGTTCCTAAGTGTGGTCAGTAGTGTTACTATTATCTAACACTGTTCAGTTCCTAAGTGTGGTCAGTAGTGTTACTATTATCTAATACTGCTCTGTTCCTAAGTGTGGTCAGTTTTACTTTATATAGTCACTAATATTATCTAATACTGCTCTGTTCCTAAGTGTGGTCAGTAGTGTTACTATTATCTAATACTGCTCTGTTCCTAAGTGTGGTCAGTTTTACTTTATATAGTCACTAATATTATCTAATACTGCTCTGTTCCTAAGTGTGGTCAGTTTTACTTTATATAATAGTGTTACTATGGTTACATTACCTTATATGGTAGTTTGCAGACAATTAACCACCTTGATCCTCCCTCAGTATGGGACTTTGAGTGCTACACTGGTACCGGGTTTGAGTACAGGGGTACTCTAGCTCGCACGGAACAAGGCTACACTTGCCAGAACTGGCAGAGCGACTGGCCCCATCCTCATGTTAGTTTAATACTTTATTTGTTATTTGCTAAACTTTATTTAGGAGGAGAACTTAATACGAGACTAAGCGGCTCCTTCATAAAATAACGAAATGTTTATCTGCAGAGTTATCACCGTGGTAACGGGGCAGGAGACCATAACTACGGCAGAAACCCGGGTAACAACGAGCGAGCCCCGTGGTGCTTCACAACCAACCTTTTCAAAAGATGGGACTACGTTAACCCTGGACGATGCAGTGAGTAATTTCATTATTAGTGCTCCATCTCCTTATATGGGCATCACGTAGGGAGAGCTTCATCTCCTTATATGGGCATCACGTGGGGAGAGCTTCATCTCCTTATATGGGCATCACGGAGGGGGGGAGCTACTTTTAAAGCTAGTGTAGATTGGTAATGAACTAAGAACATTCATAAAGTTCTTCCCACTACTTCGTAGCAACTAGCAATTTATTGTATTTGAGATAATGTGAGGTTAATAGCGAGTTAATGGTGAGTGGGGGGGGGGGGGTGCAATTAACGGTGGATATTTTTGGCCCAATCTCCAGTTACTGAGCTTTTGTAGAACACGATCTAATTTTAACGTCATACAGCTCTCTAACAGCCTGCAGTCCGCGGTTGTGTAGCAATAGACTGACGGGTGCATTATAAAGCGTTATCTGGTATTAAACTATAGAAACTGGGTTATATTAGTGTTACTATACATCACTATGGTGACTGCATACATTACTATGGTAACTATATAATATGTGCTTATATATTATGTTGTTTTTTCAGGTCGTGACAAGTTCCCATTCTACAAAGAATAGTAATAATATCAAGATATCCTTTGGTTACCATGGAAACTATCAAGATATTCCTGCAATAAACGTGATTTTAATTTTAAGTATTGTTTGTTCTATAGAGTAAAATATAACAGACTGTGTTTCAATTGGTTTATAAAGTAATTATAAATTGATACACAAAAATCACTTCTTGTACTGAAAGTAGAAGGACTATTGAGTTGTTGAAACATATTTAATAACAAAATTTGTAGCTATTTTTATGCATATTCTCATTCAAATAGTGAAATTCAAAAATTAATTAAACTCAAAGTTGTTCAATTAATTTTGTTGTAAAAATGGGGGATGAAAATTAGCTTAACTTAGAATTAAAAACAAAAACTTTGCCAAAGCATAAAGTGAGGTTCACGTGTAAAATGTAAAATGAAAAGCCGCGCGCGAACCATCATTTAATTTTGATTTCTTGGAGCAGTTCAAAGAAATTCACTTCCACTTTACTTAGTCAGTCTTAATTTGGTTACTTAGTCAGTGTTACTATGGTTACTTAGTCAGTGCTACTATAGTTTCTTAGTTAGCGTTACTATGGACATGGTTACTTAGTCAGTGCTTCTATGGTTACTATAGTTACTATGGTTACTATAGTTACTATAGTTACTATGGTTACTGTGGCTACTGTTGTTACTATGGTTACTATAGTTACTATAGTTACTGTGGTTACTGTGGTTACTATAGTTACTATAGTTACTATAGTTACTGTGTTTACTGTGGTTACTATGGCTACTGTTGTAAGTTGTTACTATGGTTACTCTGGTTACTGCGGTTACTATGGTTACTATAGTTACTATGGTTACTATAGTTACTAGAGTTACTTTGGTTACTGTGGCTACTGTTGTTACTATGGTTACTATAGTTACTATGGTTACTATAGTTACTATGGTTACTATAGTTACTATGGTTACTATAGTTACTATAGTTACTATGGTTACTATAGTTACTATGGTTACTATAGTTACTATGGTTACTATAGTTACTATAGTTACTATGGTTACTGTGGCTACTGTTGTTACTATGGTTACTATAGTTACTATAATTACTATAGTTACTGTGGTTACTGTGGTTACTATAGTTACTATAGTTACTATAGTTACTGTGGTTACTGTGGTTACTATGGCTACTGTTGTTACTATGGTTACTATAGTTACTATGGTTACTATAGTTACTATGGTTACTATAGTTACTATGGTTACTATAGTTACTATGGTTACTATAGTTACTATAGTTACTATGGTTACTATAGTTACTATGGTTACTATAGTTACTATGGTTACTATAGTTACTATGGTTACTATAGTTACTATGGTTACTATAGTTACTATGGTTACTATAGTTACTATAGTTACTGTGGTTACTATGGTTACTATAGTTACTGTGGTTACTGTGGCTACTGATGTTACTAGGGTTACTATGTTGATATGAGAACAATGTCGGCAGTGCTGCAAGACAAAGTGCTATGATAAGAATTAATCCCCTGCAAGCTCTACATGCCACGAGCCCACTAAGACGGCTACTGAAAGCTAATTAATCTAGCGGATAAGACTCTCTGGCCACGTGTTTAATGTTTTGCGATTAGAATGACACGTGTTTTACAACATATCTAGTTTTGTGAGTGTGTGTTGTGTGGTGTTTTATGTGTTACACGTAGTAAGCAGGTTCCAGTTTGTTACTATGGTTACTATGGTTACTATGGTTACTATGGTTACTATGGTTACTACAGGAAAATACCTGGATTACAGATCTGAACTGACAGAGTAAAGGTGTTACTAGTAATGACAAATATATTACATAATATTGTATCTTTTCATTTATTGCAAGATATCTATCATGGTCTATCATGGTTACCATGGAAACTATCCAACTCGAATCTTCGCGTTTTCCTCCCATCTTTGCAATTAATCACTTCTAACGTTTATAAATCTGGGTAAAATAATTTTGCTGAATATTCTTTCAACTCTTTTAATGTGAAATATGGTTTGCAAGACACTTGACAGTACTATTTATTTGCAATACTCGCATGTTTAGTACGCATTTTTAGTGTAACTGCACTATACTCCTACTACTACTTTGTCTTGGGCGGCCTTGTTGTGCTCTATCTTTCTTGAGCATTTGTAGGTAGGATGGTAGTGTGGATGTGAGATGGTGGGCCGGTATATGTAGTGTAGTGCTGTCACCTAACTAGGACTGAGTGCAGTAGGGCGGTAGTGTGGAAGTAAGTATGTAAGTGTACACTATGTCTATACTACTATAGATGCAGATTATTCGTAAAATTGGGGTGAGGGTAAAAATATAAATAAAATAAAGGAAAATAACAAAAATAGGCACTATCCGTCGCGGAGTCGAGTCCGCGGCGGAGCCGCCGGACTCCGAGCGGACTCCGAGCGGACTCCGGCGGAGCCGCCGGACTCCGAGCGGACTCCGGCGGTGCTCCGCCAAAATGTATTTACAGTGGACTCGAGTACATTTTGGCGGACTCCGAGCGGAGCCGAGCGGACTCCGAGCGGACTTTAAAGTCCGCCGCGGAATCCGAGCGGCTCCGCGGCGGCTCGGCGGAGTGTCCGCCGCGGACTAAGCCACTAGGCGGACTCCGGTCCGCCGCGGACTCCGGCGGAGTGCTTGGCGGACTCCGCCGGACCTCTCCGCCAGACTTGAATCCGGCGGAGTCCGGCGGAGCTTGGCGGACTCCGCCAGCTCGGCGGACTCCGCTCGGAGTCCGCCGGACTCCAACAGAGTCCACTGACTTCCGACCTCCGTCTTCCGACCCTCGGCTAAATTTGTCACGTGACATACAACATAGCATTTTGCAATATTGTGGTCAGATGAAAAGGTCGCTAGTGATAAACTTTAACCATTACCCTCACAATGTCAATAGTGTACAACTCTAGTCCTAACTTTGACCCTATATTGTATAAACGTTGACCCTAACCCTCCACCAAACCGTCCGCAGCGAAATATCAATGTCATTGACTGGTCACGTGACCAACACAATTTTTGTCATATTATCTCATATGGGGAAGCGTTTTTAGTTTTACATTTTACCCTACACGTTGCATGTGGCGTCATTCGGCCGGATCCCAGCAAGCAAAAATACGTTGACCATCACAGGACGACGCCAGCCAGCACTCTCTACGCTCTTCGAGCTCCGATCGTCCTGTGACGAAGTAAGGACGAAGCCTGAGGTCCTCAGGTAACATCGACCACCGATTGAAAATTCAAAGATTTTTTGACATAAAGGTCAAATGTAAAGCTAAAATCTTGATGCTGATTGATTGACGACGTCAATTTTTGAGCACAGCGCGAGCGCATGCGGAAAAGGACCGCGTAGCTAGTCAAGATGTTGATAAATATTTGGCTTGTGGCGCGATGTGTTGCTCTAACTCCCAGAAAACCTTACCGCCTGCTGGGCTTGCTAGAGGTGATAGATTTTCAACAGCACGTTTGGCGTCGCGCGTCACATCGAGTTTACCTTTCACACGCTGCATTTAGTTTAGTAGTCATGACAACGACATGACTTTGCAAAGTTTAAAAGCTGCAATCTTCAATTTAGCCAAATATCAAACTTTTCGGTTTAATTCAGAATCTAAGTTGTCCCCAATTGTGCTCCTGGGGAGCCTCCTTTAAATTTACGAGACGGACATTTTGTTGAAAACCGGAAGGTTCTATCTATTTTACTTTTGGAGATATTGCCCGGCCGGTAGGGTTTGCTGGGCTATAGCCCTCTCGCTTGCAGTAGGGCGCGACCGCCGGAAATGACTTGTGGAACAAGCGCGCCCGCAGCGGCGCGAAAGCACCTGGTTAGCTAAATGAACGCGATGTGCCTTGCATTCTAGGATGAAATCCTACTAGCTGACGCCACTCGCAGCTGTGATGTTCGCTGTACGTCAGCGATCGAAATTTATACGCGTATCACCCGTTAAGATGTGCCACCCGACGCGCCACGCAATTTTTCTCGTTGCTCGTCGCACGTCGACGAACAACGAAGCTCGTTGCGACGCGCAATGAGCTGCCAGGCTAGGACATCGTCCTGGTCCAAAAATTTAATGAGGGCGCCGACTTCCACTCTGGCTAGGTTTCTTCTGGCAAAATTTGTTGGACCAGGACGATGTCCTAGCCTGGCAGCTCATTGCGCGGCGCGTCGCAACGAGCTTCGTTGTTCGTCGACGTGCGACGAGCAACGAGAAAAATTGTGTGGCGCGTCGAGTGGCACATCTTAACGGGGGATACGCGTATAAATTTCGATCGCTGACGTACAGCGAGCAGCACAGCTGCGAATGGCGTCAGCTAGTAGGATTTCATCCTACAAGGCACATCGCGTTTACCTAGCTAACCAGGTCATTTCCGCCTCCGGCAGTCGCGCGCTACTGCAAGCGAGAGGGCTATAGTTAGAGCAACACATCGCGCCACAAGCCAAATATTTATCAACATCTTGACTAGCTACGCGGTCCTTTTCCGCATGCGCTCGCGCTGTGCTCAAAAATTGACGTCGTCAATCAATCAGCATCAAGATTTTAGTTTTACATTTGACCTTTATGTCAAAAAATCTTTGAATTTTCAATCGGTGGTCGATGTTACCTGAGGACCTCAGGCTTCGTCCTTACTTCGTCACAGGACGATCGGAGCTCGAAGAGCGTAGAGAGTGCTGGCTGGCGTCGTCCTGTGATGGTCGACGTATTTTTGCTTGCTAAAAACGCTTCCCCATATGAGATAATATGACAAAAATTGTTTTGGTCACGTGACCAGTCAATGACATTGATATTTCGCTGCGGACGGTTTGGTGGAGGGTTAGGGTCAACGTTTATACATTATAGGGTCAAAGTTAGGACTAGAGTTGTACACTATTGACATTGTGAGGGTAATGGTTAAAGTTTGTCACTAGCGACCTTTTCATCTGACCACAATATTGCAAAATGCTATGTTGTATGTCACGTGACAAATTTAGCCGAGGGTCGGAAGACGGAGGTCGGAAGTCAGTGGACTCTGTTGGAGTCCGGCGGACTCCGAGCGGAGTCCGCCGAGCTGGCGGAGTCCGCCAAGCTCCGCCGGACTCCGCCGGATTCAAGTCTGGCGGAGAGGTCCGGCG